GGGGGGGGGGGGGGGGAGTCAGTAGAAAAAAACATTTTACCAAATGTCGGCTTCTCAAATAATTACGTCATAATAATGCCAAAAACATTAGTTAGCCTACGTCAAGCAAAATAGCACCTATATAGTTTCTTGCATGAAAACTCTGACACTTCAACATGTTTATTTGGATTAAAAAAATTATATTACTTATAATCATCTACCATGTTATTGTACTGAATTGTACAATGCAATTCAAACTAAGTACTAAATTTCTCGATGTAATAAGTGCACCCAGCTAATTTCAGATTTCAAACAGCCATGTTAGCTTGGATGTTGCGTCATTGACTGGCGTACTCGGCCAATCTGACAACCAAAAACCAGACCAAGCCTTTTTCACTCAAAGCAATATGGCTCTTGCCTTCCTTTCTTATTTAACACTGGATTCACAATTATCATGCTGAAATAGATTTTATCTTGTTAGCTTTCTCAGTTATTAAAGTTTACATCCTATGTAGGACAATTTTGTCCTGCTTCTGACAAGCATGAACTTCCCTTTGCATTATATTAATAATCGCTAAATCAGGCATGTATTATCATGCAGTTGTACTATTAATAATATTAATAAATAGTGAAAAAACCACGTTGTGTCTTCATTTAATAGTACATAACAAACTGTCAGACATAACTGATAAATTGTATTATTTTAAATAATTATGCCTGCCAAACATTAGCAACAATTATTTAAAACACAAAAAATAAAAATAATATTAAATGCATTTCATTGTGATATTAACACAAAGTCTACCTTTACAGTGCTTAAAGCCCGTTTATACGAGGAAATGTCAAAGATATTTTGCTCGTGTAAAGGTGATGAATTTGTGACAAATTTATTGTGACAAATGCATTTGAACAAAAGCTAGCATGCTAGCTTTTGATCAAATGAAATTTGTCAAATAAAATTTTACAAGATTAAAAGATTACAAGATTTCTAAATTCCATGTACAGTTTATGCAGAAATATATGTCAATCTTGATGTCAACTGAAGTAAATTATTTGACGACGACCAAAAAAGCTGAATTCTTAATAAATAATATTACATTGTGCTACCCTATAGATGAAATCGCTGCGCAAGCAAGATGCACAGAACGGCTCAACCATGTCGGGTTTTGGCAGACATTTCACCAACTTGTAAAGTATACGTGAACCAAACCACATTCGTATTATATATCTTTTATATTTATGTAAGTCATGTAAGTTGTTCAAGTTTTAATTTAAAGGAGCAATAAAAGCTGCTTCACTCTAAAAACACTCTGGTTAAATTTGGGTTAATTCAACCAGGATGGGGTTAAAAATCCACCTACACAATCCTGGTTAAAAAAATTAAACCATTTTCCTGGTTAAAAGTCCAAAGAAGTATGCCCAGATTTTTGTTGAATCAATAATTTTTAACCAGGAAATCAGTTAATTTAACCAGGAATGTGCTAGGTAGTTTATTGATCCAGTTCCTGGTTGAATTTAACCAGAGTGTTTTTAGAGTGTTGTTGTTAACGTTCTATAGCTAACACCTTTACATACAGGTTAGCTTGTCGCAGTTGACAAAACATCCCTTAATCTGTTTATAATATCAACAAGCTTGTTATAGATGAAGCTAGTAAGCTGTCTTTTGCTTTATACCGCCAAACCATTCCTTAATAACGACTCGAGGTTCTGGCGGTCGAAAATCTTCCCCATCAAAAATTTCATCGGCATCATCACGTTCAAGAAGTAGCGGATGAATCGTTTCGCCACTGGTAGACAGGTGTATTACGGGCCAGTCTCTGACGTCTCTGACGTCATCTCACCAGAAAACTTCGCAACAAATTCTAATACAGCAAAGTTCAAACGGATTACAGGTTTGATGATCTCTAATCGATAATCGTTGTAGAACCAGGATTTTATCCCGCCTTGAAAATATGTGGAAAATGTTTCTTTGATTGCTGGCAGATTATGAAGCTCTTCTAAGAACAACATGCAACCAACGACGGCTTCGTCTGTGTCTTGAAGACACTCTAAAATCTTTGAGACGACACGTATTTTTGCTGCTACAATTCTATTCGGCAAATCCAAGGCTTCGTTCCAGAATGCTTCTGCTGCTTTCTTGCCTGCGTGTCTGAAATGCTTCTCCGCAGAAGCAAATGGAGAATTTTCAAATGTATCTTTTAATCTCTCAATGTCGGTTGAGAGTGCGATGGCCACGTTCAGTTCTCCAGACTTGATTTGCTTTGTTTGAGTCGCTGTTGTTGTTTTATTTTCAATATCATGGTGACCGTTTGCTTTTTCAAGTTTTCTTACGAGTGCGCCAATACCCATTTTCAGAGAAGAACGACTTACCAGTAAGTCTTTTCGCACAAGTGCATCGATTTTCGTATTGACATCGTGAAGTTCGCAGATAAGTTTTTTGCGCCATTTCTCAAACGAGACATCGCCGTCTTTCAAAACGTCAGCCAACGCGTTGCGAACTACATTGATACCGAAACCTTTTTCCAAACCAGAAAATAATACAGAGCTTATCATATTTATAATTATAATCAACCCCATATTTATTCAATAACCCAAACATCGATATATATTTAATCACTAATTTGACAAATAGGTAAGATTTTGCCGTTTTCTGTTCAGTTATGAGTTATATACCTGGGTATAAAAATGTATCTGGGTATCCCCAGTATGATGACATATTGTCAAATAAACGCTGAGTTAAGCACATTTTAAGATTACGTATATAACAAGAACTTCTGGCTATGAGTATGGACAATGGGTTTTTTGGAGGGAAGAACATAACTGGTAAACCTCCAAGGTGCGCTATCCTTTACTGTACCATGCCCAACCGGCGATATCTAGATATACTGTATAATATTTTACAAAATTGTACATACATAAATTTCTGATAGCTGTAATAACGGCAAGCATTTTGTCATTGTTGTAAATCCATTGTACTTTTAAATTAAAGATGGACAATTAAATCTGCATTATTATCATAGCTGGATCCCTTCGTGTAATTGCTGAATTTTGAAAATTCCCAAAAAGCAACCTCATACTTAAAGCCATATTTCACTCTGTGCAAGAACTGACCTGATGACGAGAAAAGGGCCTGGAACTAGCTAACTGTACATTACCAATCATGGTATATTTAAATATCACCGGTACTTTCCCAGTACTGAAATACCCAACCGAAACTATAGGCATTAAAAAATGAACATGGAAAGTATTTCGTTGCTGTGTAGGTTATTGCTGTGTATTTGTTGCTGCGTAGGTTAGTGACGATAATAAGAACTAGGTAGTTGTACCCCCATCGATCCGAAGCTTTCTTACATGTAAAGTATTCAATGTTTTCATGTACGACTGTCTTTCGAAACTTTTAAGCCAGTATTACAGTAAGACATGCATATAAGAAGCTCTAAACGGTGCTAAATGACTCCTGACATCAATAACTAACAACTTGAAAAAGATTTAACAATCTTGAACCGTCTTGAATTTTTGCTGAGAAATCACAATTTGAATTTTTGCTGAGAAATCACATTCAAAGACCCCTAATTAAACTCACAATAGCCAAACAGCATGCTGGCGTCATGTGGGGAAAAAAGAGCCAACTAAGTCATTGTAGACAATTGCTGTAAAAGTCTGAAATTCTTTTAATATTTTTCATCACAACAGCACATTTTCGAATGTTGACTGTGTCGTAGTGGTTTAGAACAAAAGACCGTTTCCATCAACAAAAGTTGCACATACTGTACTTGTCAGACTTGTCAAAAAACAATTTGTTGCGAGTTTGTTGGCCTCATCAACCTCGTTACAAGATGATAATGTTCAACTTGTTCCAGATTTGTTAATAACTGGGAACAAGCAATGCGAACACGTCTTAGTGACAAGCTGTTACACGAACTAATTACGTCATTCCACTTACCAAGCGTATGCGGTATCTTTGTCATGTATTTATTCTTTGAATGATGGCTTGGCTGCTCCTCTGGTGATGTCATCAATCTATCATTTGAACCAATCAGCTCTTCCGATGTCACTTGACCACGTGATGCACGGTAAGCCAATGGCGGTGAAGGAAGTTCGAGGCTTGATCGATATCTTGCTCTGAGACTCCGAGATGGGTGCTTGAAAAGTACATTCAAAGTTAACGTTGGAATTTTTTCTGACATATTCATCAAAATTGACTTTAAACTAACTTAATTTATGCCATAAGGGAAAAACATTTCTAAACCGTTCTTCCTAGAGGTCCAGTAGGATCATCTCTTATTGATCCAGTGTTACTACAGGAAACTAACTTTATTTATACAGGATAGCTCTTTCAGTTCTAAAGTAAACTGTTCTTCCTAGAGGTGCAGTAAGGATCATCTCTTATTGATCCAGTGTCACTACAGGAGGAAACCTAAACCAAACTAACTTAAAGTTTATTTATAAGTTCTATCAGTTGTTACAGTATACCTCTTCATCTTTTTAATATTGATACAGGAGGAAACCTAAACTAAACTAACTTTATTTATAAACTGGATTGCTGGGTATCAGTTCTTCCTATAGGTCCAGTAAGCACCATCTCTTATTGATACAGTGTTACAACAGGAGGAAACCTAACTGAACTGAACTAACTTTATTTAGCTCTATGAGTACGAAACTGTTCTTCCTACAGGTCCAGTAAGATTCATCTCTTATTGATCCAGTGTTACTACAGGAGGAAACTTAAACTAAACTAACTTTATTTATACTGGATAGCTCTAACAGTTCTAAACTGTTCTTCCTATAGGTCCAGTAAGGATCATCTCTTATTGATTCAGTAATACTACAGGAGGAAACCTAAACTAAACTAACTTTGTTTATACTGGATAGCTTTATCAGTTCTAAACTGTTCTTCCTAGAGGTCCAGTAAGGATCATCTCTTATTGATCCAGTGTCACTACAGGAAGAAACCTAAACTAAACTAACTTCAAATATTTATACTGGACAGCTCTGTCAGTTTGAAACTGTTCTCCCCAGGAATCCGGTATGGGCCAACAACACGTTATTGATTCAGTGTTACTACAGGAGGAACTTAAACAAAACTAAGTTTTCACTAATTATGTTTTTCAACATTACCATTGGGCAACTACTGAATGAATACTCGGTGAACTGCTAAATGCTATATTGTCATGTTATACCTGATCATCTGAGATGTAACCTCTAGTAAGGGATGTCTCTTTGTCTACATCAGAATGTTGAATCACCTGTAACAATATGAGAGCATTATTAAATGCCATTTTCGGGGACTACAGTTACATGCTGTACCACACTTCAACTGACGTCATTTGTCAAGAAACTTGAACACAAACCACAATAAAAACTCACCTCAGGTATATTATTTCCCAACACAAGCACAACCAAACTTTTTATGATCTTGCTGTAAAACCTGTCACCATATTTACTGCCACATGCCTGCAAGAAAATTTGCTCGTCAAGGAAAAAGTCAAACTTATATCCATCGATAAAAATCTACAAACATGTTTAAACTCACAGCTAAAACTTGTCTTAATGAGTATCGACTTCTTGCAAGTTCTTCACACATTGACAAAAGTAAGTTACCCAAAGATACGCTTAGATGACCCATCTAGAAACATGTAAAACATTGATTAACAATGAATACAATAACAAGTCACACAAAACAAATTACACTGATTCTATGCCGTTTTATATTGCCTTCTGCCACAAGCAGGCAAGATGCATCAGATCACGGATTACTGTAATCCAAACTGGCAACCAATATGGTACCCCTTCCATCCCCAATTGCAAGTTGACAGCAATTTTTCTAGAATACTTTCAATGAAAAATCAAAGGCTTTGCATTTTACACAGTGCTGCCAATTTTGTGTCAGAAGTCCACAGACAAAATAAGCACACACAAGTGGGAGAAAACTGGTAAAATTTGACGTCACATGTGAGAAGAGTGCGGAAAATAATCAAAATTTAGCAGAAAAGACTCGGTGTACCTTAGATTTATTGAGTGCATATTCAGCAGCATAATAGAGAGTCATACCCAGAGAGTAGACGTACATCTGGAAATGAAATTAAGAATAAATTATTATAGTTAATAGCTGATACAAATATATAATTTCTTGCATCCTTAAGGCCAATAATGTTAGTGTCACAAGAAAATACTTGCTTAATGAATTGCAAAGCATTTCTGTATCACTTTGCAGGAGCAGATTAAGGACTATATAGTTAAGTGAACTGTTAAAAATTGTAAAAGAAAGATGGGGGGACTTAAATGTCCAGGTGCACGCCAAACATCTTACTTTTTCCACAGCTCCATCACTGGGGGATATAGTCCGAGAGCTGAGCTCTGGAGCTCTGTACGTTGGATTCTTTGCCTTCTCTACAAAAACAAACAAGATATTAGATGATCATGCACCATCATCCATGGATGTTGCTTTCATTAAGAACATTTAAGACATATACATGCCAATTGTTTTATGAACAAATGTGTGCTGGATTAAATGTCTAGCAGTGTCAACAGCAGCGGTGACAGTACATTTTTAAACAGAATATCTTCGGAAAAAATTTTCTTACAGACTAAGTGACCTTGCAGGAAATTTTTTGTCATCTTATATACTGGAATGCCACATATTTTAATATTCAAATATTATATACAGTATAATATTAGAATATTAATAAAAATAACACGTTTTGGTATATAAGGGCACAATGCCACTCAAAGGGTTATAACAGACACAACCACAGGTAATGGTACTAAATCTTCATACCTCTGCCAACATGAGTTGAAACTTTCACACGACCGGAATGAGACAGGATTAACGTATCTGGTGATATGAGCAGAGATGGCTGACCATGTTGCTTCCCTTTGCCTGAGGAAAAACAAGTTTTACAACATTGAAAACTGTGCTAGTCCACAGACTAATTTAAATTAAACAACAGGGATGAATCAAGCATGATCTGGAAGGGGGTGCTCTGCCACCTCTGGTGCCGAGTTGTGTCAGTCATGTACGTTGCCCGCCAATCAATTACTGTATTTGAATTGTAATTGTTGTTAAAAGTTCGCTTATCATCATGTTATTACCATGCAATAGCATAGCTAGCCCATAATAGGTAGCCCATATTTAGTCCCGCTATGCAAACATTTTCGTGTTCATTGACTGTAAAAACAGTCAATTTCTAAAGTCAATGAATAACAATAATAATTTTGAACTTGCATAGTGGAACTAAATTGTCAGGCTGGCTACGCCACTGGTTATTACTCAAATTACTGTATCTCAATTTGTAATATTTTTTCTGCCCAGGGCTAGGGGGTGCACACCCCCAGTAAATCCGTCCCTGAAAAGCAATTGAATGGTCAACCCACCACTGTCCCTCTGATGAGCAAAATTGTCTGGTGTTAGACACAGTAAAATGATAAACTAGGTGCATTTGCCACTAAAGGGGTTACTGTAACAGGATGTAACAGATAGTCTGATTGACCCGTTGAGTGCCAGAACTCTCCCTTTGATGAGTAAAACTGTCTAGCATTATACACTGTGAGGGTACAATAATCTGGTGTTAAAAATCCTTCCCAGGAAATATTTGTCAAATCACTGAAATTAAACACACCAGCTTGCATAAAAACACAGTCCTTGATCTGTAGTTTGGACTCACCATCAGCCAACACTCTTTCAATAGCCTTGCCAGCGTGGCTTAGTACTGCCCATATCTCCTCTTCATTCAATGGTGATCCTTTCACTTCAAGAACCTCTGTCAAGGTCACTTGATTTGCAGCCAACACTGGCATCCTGGTCATAAAGCAAAGCTTGTGTCAGACTAAATTAGGCTTGTTTACATGTGGAATTTCAGCCGGGATTTTCTTCTTCAGACACCATGTGAACAAGTAGACAATTAAAGGCCCCAGTTACATGATACCAGATTCACATTCGACTGATTCGAGTGAGTACAGCAAAATCAACAAACTGGGTCTGTGGAAGCCGGGCTGGCCTGCAAAGCAAGACAGCCCGGTAAGTAAGACAGCCTGGTAAGCAAGACAGCCTGGTAAGCGGGATGAATTTCTCTTGTGATTATACAAAAAAAAATTCATCCCGCTTGCCGGGACAATTTTGTTACATTAATATTGTTTTGACAGTTGATAAAAATAGCTTGCAATGGTACCTTTGAACTTTCATCCCGGCAACCGGGCTAGCCTGCTTGTGAGTGTTTATATGGAGAAATTTCCATCCCGGTAAGAAAGATCTTGCCTCTTTCAAGCGAGATCTTGGTAACCGAGCCAGTCTGCTTGTCCATATAAATGCACAATAATTTTTACAATAAAAATAACTATGCAGCAAGATTTCCAAAAATCAGGTCAGCCCAGCTTCCATATAAACAGGCCCTAAGATGCTTTTCAGCCTCTTACAACTTTTCATTTTTAAAGCTTTTGACTAATTCTGTTTTATTATCACAATTTTGAGGGCTAAACTCCCCTTGAAACTGTAAAATTTGATAATAAAATATTGTGTAACTGGCCTAACACTCACAACTTTTGCCTAAAACTTTCACATGCAACCTGCTTACAACTCAAGTTATAATGTGTAAATCAAGCACACAATTCACACACATTGTCATACACAAGTTCTGTGCTTTAACCCATTAAGCAACTTTTACACACTGCGATTAATCGTGTACGATTCATTCTCTGGTGTATGTCATTGAGTAAACACACATATGCTGGCTACATTTGAAATTTCTTTTTAACGAAACGGCAAAGAATTATGGCACCAGCACTCATTTTAATATGCCAGAATATGAATCGTACATGATTAATCGCAGAGTGTAAACATAGCTTTAAGAGCTTCCCCAATGATGAGTAAAATCGTCTAGCGTTAGATGAGGAAAAAAATAAGTAGGGCACACTGGGGCATATTGCAGCTCAATGGGTTAAGTAGAGACACTGCCAGATTTTTTGGTTAACCCATTAAGCTGCAGAGCTTCTCCAATGACGAGTAAAATTGTCTGGTGTTAGACAACAAGTGAAAAAAATAAGTAGGGCGCACTGGGGCACATTGCTGCTCAAGGGGTTAAAATCCATCACAAAATCACAGCAAAAATTGCAATGTGTAAACTGACCTTAAGCCTGGCAGTGAAACACGATTTTAGTGGGCCTTCCTGCTTAACAGGCCAGCCCGCCTTTCAGAGCAGGTCAAATTCACGACCCTTTAATATTTACAAGTGGCGACCACTTATGTTACAAATTAGTAAATATACAGTAAAATCTGACATCTACTATTGACCTAATATTTGATTTTAAACACCTTCTACACAACAAAATAGTGTAATTGAAAGAAAAAACACACAAAAAACAAACTGATATATAACGTTTCGCGCTGCAATAAGAAAATGCAATGGCCAATTTTCGCAAATAAGCAAGACTAATGAATAGAATTATAAAATGAATGTAGCAAAAAACTGACTGTCCTTTAAATTTAGAGAATTTTTTGACTTTTCACGACAAAGAAACGCAGTGTAATAGCCAAGATATTGTACGATTTTTGAAACACAATTACAGTACGAAAAAATACTAACGAAGGAGCACTTTTCCCATAAATATAACAAATTTAACGAGATTTTTATCAATTATTTTACATAAATATATCAGTACCCTATTTAAGCACAGAAATATATCGTAAATTTAAGCGGTCAAAACAGCTTTTCAAGTGCCAGAAAATCTCAGTTCAAGTCCCTGTTGTGTTGTATTGATTTACACTAATTACTTTAGGCCATTTATGTGGACATCACAGCGAAAAAAGCGCGGTCATTTCAACACAATAATATAAAGTTAGCAAGTCATTCGAGTACATACCTTCAACCCATGACAAATCACGTTTTAAAATACAACCCCATTGCCATAGCAAAAATCTGCAGCTGTTAGTGAGGGTAACGGTTTTATAGCAGACAAAACAGGCCACAAAAGTTTGTATAAACAGAAATATGTCAAGGTTTATGGAGATTTATATTTCCTCGCAAAGTGAACGCGTTTTTACTCCATGGATACCCGAAACCCGAACTTCGAATAAAATGTTGTTGACAGGGAGTCAAAGGTGATTGGTTGATACGCATCACGTGAATCTTGATACGGGATAATATGCTAAAAATAGATTTGATAAATGCGCACCGAGGCCCGTAAGCGCGAGGTTTATCAAACAGGACAGGGTTTTTTCTGATCTAAACTAACTCGTAGAAGTCGTAAAAGTTTCCTGGAGGTCCAGTAGGGGTCACACTTTCGAAACCCCACGTTTGAGACATCTTTTTCAGGTAGTTCAGACACAGACCACGACAGCTTATCGTAGAACACTACCTATACTGGACCGCCACATTTGAGATATATTTTTCAGGTAGTTCAGACACAAACCACGAGAGCTTATGGTAGAATACTACCTACACTGGACCACCACGTTTGAGATATCTTCTTCAGGTAGTTCAGACACAAACCATGACAGCTTATTGTAGAATACTACCTACACTGAACCACCACGTTTGAGATATCTTCTTCAGGTAGTTCAGACACAAACCACGACAGCTTATTGAAGAATACTACCTACACTGGACCACCACGTTTGAGATATCTTTTTCAGGTAGTTCAGACACAAACCACGACAGCTTATTGTAGAATACTACTTACACTTGACCACCACGTTTGAGATATATCAGTTTTCAGGTAGTTCAGACACAAACCATGTCAGTTTTATATCTTACTACACTTGACCTCCACAGGATGCACTCCACTTTTCAAAATTCATTTTTATTCAAATTGTACCGAGTCAAGAATATACTAAATTACACAAATCTAAAAATCCTAAATAAAGCTCTTTCGAACTGTTATGTGTGCGTGTATTAAATATCAGTTGAGCTACATTGCAACAGTAAACTATTATGTACGATGTATCACGGCTGTTCGCCTGATGACCAGCCAATTGTGTTCAATGCGGTATGAGAATTTTCAATTTTCACATGTGCTGAGAAGATAAATAAGATTGTAATCCCAAGTAATTCATTCACAAAAGCGATTTCCAATTCATTCCAAGTTTTCCAGTTCTATGCAAGAGAAACAGATATCAAAAACGTATTGTCAGTATTGACGATTACAATCCCTCGATCATCACTCGATCGGCATAGAGAACAGTGACATTTTCAAAACAATGAAAAGACAATGGAACATTCTGATCACTGGATCATGACTGGATGGCATAGAGAACAGTGACATTTTCAAAACAATGAAAAGACAATGGAACATTCTGATCACTGGGTCATGACTGGATGGCATGGAGAACAGTGAGATTTTCAAAACAATGAAAAGACAATGGAACATTCTGATCACTGGATCATGACTGGATGGCATGGAGAACAGTGAGATTTTCAAAACAATGAAAAGACAATGGAACATTCTGATCACTGGATCATGACTGGATGGCATGGAGAACAGTGAGATTTTCAAAACAATGAAAAGACAATGGAACATTCTGATCACTGGATCATGACTGGATGGCATAGAGAACAGTGAGATTTTCAAAACAATGAAAAGACAATGGAACATTCTGATCACTGGATCATGACTGGATGGCATAGAGAACAGTGAGATTTTCAAAACAATGAAAAGACAATGGAACATTCTGATCACTGGATCATGACTGGATGACATGGAGAACAGTGGGATTTTCAAAACAATGAAAAGACAATGGAACATTCTGATCACTGGATCATGACTGGATGACATGGAGAACAGTGGGATTTTCAAAACAATGAAAGACTATGGAACATTCCGATCACTGGATCATCACTGGATGGCATGGAGAACAGTGAAATTTTCAAAACCATGAAAAGACTATGGAACATTCCGGTCACTGGATCATCACTGGATGGCATGGAGAACAGTGGGATTTTGAAACAATGAAAAGACAATGGAACATTCCGGTCACTGGATCATGACTGGATGGCATGGAGAACAGTGGGATTTTGAAACAATGAAAAGACAATGGAACATTCCGGTCACTGGATCGTGACTGGATGGCATGGAGAACAGTGGGATTTTGAAAACAATGGAAGGACTATCGCACCGGCTCCGTGGATCACTGGATATCGTGACTGGATGGCAATAATGTTATGCAAAGGTCAATATGAATTGTATCAACGATCAGATAGTCACGTGCGATGAAATATTTGCCTATTTACTTAAATTAAAGGTCTTTCGTACTGCGCAAATATTGTGTTAGCCTGGATAAACTATGCTTGATAAAAATTAGTCTTAGTTTAGATCTGCGGAGAAATCCCATACTCAAATTGGACATGATACCACTGCGAGGATAATTCGTGATCGCACATTTAACACACACACCATATTTCAGGAACTTTAAGCATACGGGAACGCTATCACGACGGCAAAGAAACTCGTTGAACTAAATCATTGTAAGGAGAACCTGTCGTCTATTTTTCATCGTATGAAATTATTACCGTTTTACGATCGAGAATGAAACAAGGATTTATGGTTGAGAAAACGTTTAAGAGATATTAATTATTTCGTTCCTACATGCAGTACTGTGAATTTCATTGTGTTAATAGTCGTTCATTTTCCATCCTTGCCTAAGTCATAGATGTTATTTGTGTAATGTACTGAACGTGCTTTGCTGCAGCTTGTTGTTCACTTGATCTCATGGCCTTCCCGAGGCTCCTTATGTTCTGTTGCAAAATAAGTTTTGGGTTAGGCTAGTGATTTGATCGAGAAAAAGTGAGAAATATTGATATTCGCTTACGAATGACTATAATTTCTATGTGTACCTGCAGTACCTTCGTCATGAAACATGGAAGGAATGTCATTGGGCTCGGCGTGCAACAAGCAGCAAAGTCTAGTTATAATGTTGAGGTCAGGTGTCAATTGGGACGCAAGTCCTGTTCCATTCCTCAATCACACTTGTGATCCTCTGTTTATTGTAGATGTATATGCGTAATGATTGTATTGTGACAAATGATTAAAATTAAAGTTAAGGTTCCTATACCATAGTATCTCATAGTTTTTGAAGTGTAAAATTTGAGGCTGTTTCTTGTGTCACGTCCCCGTGTGATTAAGGTTACAGAACACCTTTGATTGTTAATTTTGCCTAAAATTTTTTTATTGGTTTCCATGAAAGCATTAGACTAGTTCTACTATCCGACCAAGTTTGAACGAAAAATGTTGAAAACTCGCAGAGTTATTTAATAAAATACATTTCGCTGCAATAAGAAAAACATTGAAGATGTAATATTCAAATTCAAGTTTCTCACTGCGGGTTTAAATAAATTTTTCTCAAATTTTCACAGGACATAGCTAAAGGCGTCAGTTTCAAAATTGTGTTCGACTTTTTTCTAATTTTGGATATTTTAATAATAAGGAGCAATTCACTCAAACGATTCAGAAATATATTGTAGTGGTCAAAGAAATCGCCAAATCAGCGGAATGACGAAATAAACAAAAATTTCCGAACACAATTTTTTAGAACAACTATATTTTACTGTATAAAAATGATATTTTCATAAATATATCTTAAAACCGAAAGGAACACAACTCAAAAGCGTAAAGGTACCGCGATTTAAGATTTTCCTGAATAATTCTTACATTATTCTATTGTTTGTCAATTTTACAACTTTACCATATTTTGCATGCACTGGCGAACATTTGGTGAAAATTTGATGAAAATCGGACTGATATTGAGCGCGCAGTAGCAATTTTCCGCAAAACGCCAAAAAGTGTGTTCTGTAAACTTAAAGTTACACGACACCCTTTTTGGCGTTTTGCGGAAAATCGCTCCTGCGCGCTCAATATCAGTCCGATTTTCATCAAATTTTCACCAAATGTTCTCCAGTGCATGCACAATATGGTAAACTTGTAAAATCAATAAAAAATAAAATAATATAAGAATTATTCAGGAAAATCTTAAATCGCGGTGCCGTTACGCTTTTGAGTTGTGCTCCTGCTGGTTTTAAGTTATATTTATGAAAATATCATTTTTATACAGTGAAATAGTTGTTCTAAAAAATTGTGTTCGGAAATTTTTGTTTATTTCGTCATTCCACTGATATGGCGATTTCTTTGACGACTGCAATATATTTCTGAATTGTTTGAGTGAATTGCTCTTTATTTTTAAAATATCCAAAATTAAAAAAAAGCCGAACACCATTTTGAAACTGACGTCTTTAGCTATATGTCCTGTGAAAATTTGAGAAAAATTGGTTAAAACCCGCAGGAGTACAACTCGTTTGAAAATCAGTAATTACCGTAAAATTTTTCGGGAGAAAATTGAATTTGAATATTACATTTTCAATGTTTTTCTTATTGCAGCGAAATGTATTTTATTAAATAACTATGCGAGTTCTCAACATTTTTCGTTCAAACTTGGTCAGATAGTAGAATTAGTCTAATGCTTTCATGGAGACCAATAAAATTTTTTTTGGCAAAATTAACACTCAAAGGTGTTCTGTAACCTTAAGCGAGCCAGCTAGGGCGCTGATTAAGTCTTGCTTAACTTTGCTATCGTCATATGTTTACCATGTTATGGCAATCGCGTTATAAACATGTCTAGCTGTGCAAACAAATAAAACATTTTCTCGCCCCTATATTTATTTAACCCTCCTGTGTTAGCATTTCATATCAAACTTCGAGAATATATTGACTTAGCGGATCTTTGACAGTTCAGGCGGTAATATTTTAATAAAGAGAATACACAAAGCCGAACGCGAGGTTTCGTATTAAAACGCGGGAAAATTGGGTATTGTATATATTACGGTAAAACAAACGCAATTTTCACTGCATGGCGTCCCACGTTATGCAACTACAGGGCGCTTGGAGATTGCACCAAACAATGGCGGCCGGCTAATAGACAATTACCATTATAGACTAATTTTAAAACTAGACAAGCCACAAGGAGACGCTAATATTTAAATCACCACAGCCTGAAAGAGCGTACTAAAATGAGTAAAATTGCAAAGTTTGGTTGCGAAATGTTGCAAAATGCAGAAAACATAGCCTTGCAAAGTTTGGAAATTTTGTATACTGTTGTACTGCGTGCGGAAATTGCTACCATTAATTTTCGGCCCAAATGTGATAGCAATTTCTGCACGCAATACAAAAAGTATATACAAAATTTGCGAACTTTGCAAGGCTGTATTTTCCGCATTTTACAACATTTCGCAACCAAACTTTGCAATTTTACTCATTCTATATCATTCAATTTTCGTCCAAATTTAACCAAATTTTAATCCATTTTTCCTCGGGCAACGTCCATTATAGTTTCACAAATTTTCGAATTCGGCTAATACGTTTGATATTTTTTAAGTTTATCGTACTTACAGGCAGATAACCTCATGGCACAGGTAAAAAGCCAATAGATGACCCCAAATATAGACTACCCAATTTTGATCTAGGCAAGGAGAACAAAATCCATTACCACAGCTAGAACGAGCATGTTAAAATTAGTAAAACTGCAAAGTTTGGCCGCGAAATGTTGTAAGATACGGAAAATATAACCCTGCGAAATTTGCAAATTTTGTATTAATTTGTATTACGCACGGGAAAATGCACTACATTTGGGCCCGGAAGTGGTGAATTTTCCCGCGCGTAATACAAATTAATACAAAATTTGCAAATTTCGCATGGCTATATTTTCCGCCGTTTACAACATTTCGCGGCCAAACTTTGCAGTTTTACTAATTTTAACATGCTCTTTCTAGCTGTGGTAATGGATTTTGTTCCTCTTGCCTAGATCAAAATTTAGTCTATAACTGGAATTATCTGATTCCGGATTGATATAAAATTTGATTCTAACAAAATATGTATATACATAGTGTCATCTATTTATACTGGATACCTCTATCAGTTCTAAACTGTTCTCCGTATAAAGGTCCGGGAAGAGTCGCCCATGCATTAACGGGCGAATGTTACTACAGGAAAAACCGAAGTATATCCTATTCGAAAGACATCTTCTCGCATGCAACTGATGGAGTGTCAAAATTTTGGGATGAAAAATGTTCAAACCTAAATTCGTTTTGGCGTTCCTCTCAAAATTACTTTGTTTAGCCTTAATTTATAGTTTACACAGTTAACAACCTTTTCTAAGCCCTATTTCAAACGTCGCTCTTCTCATGTGCCCAACGCATTAGAAAAAATAGATAACGATGCATTTCAGCTGATCCTCTATTGTTTTTAATGCGTTCGGAACATGAGAAGGCGCGACGTTTGAAACAGGCCGCAGAAAAGGTTGTTAACTGTGTAAACTATAAATTAAGGCTAAAACAAAGTAATTTTGAGAGTGATGCATCTGGCATTCTGGCGGTTGAGAAAAACAAAATAATAGTTAAATATTGTCAATTTAAATACAATTACCCATGTTTATACAACAATATAAGCAAAACGCGCTCAACTTCAGACATCATTTTGAAGAGAGAAATTGGAGAGAAATTTTCTCTCTGGGGTATCATCTAAAATCTCTTCATTTTAGCATAATTTTACAGAAAGAGCACTAAACATACTTTTGCCGCTTAAGAAACGTATCAAGAATTAAAAAAATTAAATATAGTCATAGTCAAGTGGAAAAGTATACATTAGTTTGAGCGCGTGTTTCGCAACATTTTCCTCTTAAAATTTAATATAATCAGACAAATACATATTGCAGAATTGAGCGCAGCATTTCATCGAGTGCTTACCGCTGAAATTTATAGAACCCGCCGCTATATGTTCCTAAATAGCCAGTGCGCTAAGGAGAATGCCATTAACCATTA